TCCCAAACCTGGTGGAAATTGGGGAGACCCCATGTGTGGAGATGTAAACTATTCTTGTTAAGCACTGTCTTTTATTTTTCATAGGAATATATGTGAATTTAAGCTGCTCAGGAAAGGAGTACATTGGCAATGTATAAACATAAGTGTTTGACATTTTTGTGTCAATGTACAAGGCATGGTCAAGGAAACCTAGCATTGGAACACCTGATCCCAAGCCTCACAATATTATTCTCATTGTTTGAGCCTGCAGAATGTAATGATATTTTCCTTTCATTCGCTTTCAAGGTTAACATTGCAGAATATAGAACGTTTTGTCTGTTTCTGTTTTGTTAGGGACAATAGCGCGCTCTGCTAGCCGTGGAACTTTCTGAAATCCCTAGAAATGATCATTTCCGTAGAGAATGAGCTTACAGAGGAGCAGGTGAATCTATCACAGTAGATGTTCTCTGGCTTCTTACTTCCTTTGTTGGTTTTAAAATGCATATAATTTCTCAGATCTCCCAAAATGTAGGTCCTGGATTAGTGCCACAGAATATTGTAGTCCCTAACTCCTGGTTGACATACATGTGGACGTGCGGGCTGCGTTTTGCTTGGGCACGAGAGCCCGTTCATTTGAATGGACTCCCGTGCCTCGTGACATGCAGGGAAGAGGTCCCTGCGCTTCTTCTGAAAATGCAGCCTGCACAAGAACTTCGGTTCCCAGTACGTTTGCGTTTTCCAGTGTGGGCAGCGTGACATTAGAAATAATGACACCCGCCCACGGGTTTGCATTCCTATGTGCGGGTGGTGCGGCTGCACGGATTTTCGCAAAGATCCTCAACCGCACCACCCGCACATATGTGAACCAAGCCTTAATGAGGACTTCAACTGTTAATGCTCTGCCCAAAAAAGACAAACAGATAGTCACTTTTGTTTTCTGTGCTCTCTCCAGCTGATGTTTCTCCTTGACTAGAGTAGAACAGATGTGCCCAGTCAACTTCCCAACCCGTCAACCAGTCAACTTACTGCCCCCGAGTAACCCCAGCTGCGGTAACGACTGCCGCCAATGGCATACAGCTGGTGGGAGCTAGATGGGAACACGTGTAGTGTAGTCAGACAGGCCAGGTCAATAACAACGGAGCAGACAGTACTAGACGGTAGGCAAAGAATGCTCAGGTCAAGGGTCGGGTTCAGCAACGGGAGGTCAGGTAAAGAGTTAAAGCAGCGAATAGCCTTGTCCAAGCCGAGTCGGTTACCAGGAGAGCAACGAGAACAGAACGAGAGCTAGCGACAAGGAAACATACAGGACACGAATGCAGAGAGCACTTGCAGACAGCAGGTTTAAATGTGCTCAACCACAACCTTCTGAGGAGGAGCCGCAGAAGCCTGAAGGCATAAAGGTTCCCACCATGCTTTGCAGAAACCAAGATGGATGCCAGCACATGGAGATGCACAAGCTCTGAAGAAAGGTAGGACCTTGACAGATTGCCCACCAACACCAATCTGGTCACTTTGAAAGACCCAAAACTGCTCACTGGCTGCTGTAACATCCATAAAACGAATCCACATAAGAATGTAGGGTTGGTGGAAAGTTCTGTCGTCATGTGCCACTCATAATTTGGGCCTGCAAATCTCCTTCCATCAGACCATCTCTGAAGACCCTCTGCTGGAATACAATATACACATATTTTTGTATAACAACTACATCAGTATAAGTATTCAGAAAAGTATTATAAACGGGGTGGGTACACAAATCTGTCATCGGTCGTGTCCGAGGTACACGGCCGGCGACAGATCTCGCCACAATGCGGCCCTGCGGGCACACGCAAAGCGCGACGTCATATAACGCCTTCCCGGAGGGGACGATGTGTTCGACCACAGGCCGCGCGGCAAGTGGCTAAAGTGTCTTAAATACTCCCGCCTGATGAAGTGGGCAATAGAAGCCATGAAACGTGTTCACAGTGTTACATGTATATCTCATAACCAATATGAACCCCCATTCTTTCACCTGAAAATAATGAGCATCTTCTACTTATAGGTGCCTCTGCCAACTTACACTACCTACCTTTTGGAGCCATGCTCATCATTATGAACTAGGATCTCAGCCTCAGTGCAGGATTCACTGTAATTCCCCCAATGAGCATTGTGATCACCTTATGTGCAGAGACAGGGCCCACTGTTTTGGTCCAAAGGTTGTATCCCAAGCAGATGCACTAGCAGCCAAACACACAGTCTAGGGGTATTCTTTTAATGTTTTATTGAACAAACTTGGGTGGGTGCAGGATAACTGTGGGATACTTCAGCAAGGTTAAGAAGTAACTACACCTATCTTCCTTCTAAAGATTCTGAGCACAGTCCTTGCCAGGGGCGGACTGACCATTTGGAATCTCGGGCACAGCCCGAGGGTCCGGGGTCAGTAGGGGGCCCCATGAGATGCCCCTGGTACCTTTTTGATAGGCTTTTTGAGTTTGGGCAAGGACACGGGGCCCCATGATCCCCTATTGCCCGGGGGCCCCATGAGTTGTCAGTCCACCCCTGGTCCTTGCAGCAACCACACAGGAAAAACAATGTCCACCTTTCAGTACAAGCTGACTCTGATGCAAGAGAGATAGCAGCAGCACACAGTCCCTGGGATCTCACACACAGGCCCATACTTACTAATGTCTTTGGATAATTGGACGCCTACTTCCAATATCTACCAGACACCTCTCCTGTGAATCCTCCAGACCAGATCCCCAAAAGGCCCTCAGTCAGCTCTTACAGAATTCATCAGAATAAGTGCCTAGCTAGCCAGCTGGGACCTTGATGAACAGTAGAAAAGCACAGCTGGACTGCACAGAAAGGCAGCAACCCTTTAGGCTGGGATCTCCTCCTCTAAGACAAGAACTCTTCTGCTCCAGGCCTCAGACTATTTATGCTCACTCCCAACCACCATCTGCCCCTCCAAGGATTGGCTGAGACCCCATACATATTCAAACTGTAGATTTGACTCTCTCAGCCAACTACTTTCCAGAACCATCTAGAAAACAGGGGAAATCAGCCAAAGCCTGTAAAACTCAGAGCAGACCAGAATAATCACAAGCTGCTCCACTGATTATACGAGAGCTAAAGAACTAAATTTACCTACCTTTCACCTATCTAGGAGGGTGCTACAGACAGCAAATAAAAAAAAATATGCTTTGCAATTGATTGGTGATGACTGATTGTAAATGATTTGATGGTAATTAGCACTGTCAGCTTTTATGATGTTTAGTAGATTTACACTGCTCAAAAAAATTAAAGGAACACTTTTTAATCAGAGTATAGCATCAAGTCAGTTAAAGTCCTGGGATATTGATCTGGTCAGTTAAGTAGCAGAGGGGGTTGTTAATCGATTTCAGCTGCTTTGGTGTTTATGAAATTAACAACAGGTGCACTAAATGGGCAACAATGAGATGACCCCCAAAACAGGAATGGTTTTACAGGTGGAGGTCACTGACATTTTTTTTCCCTACTCATATTTTCTGACTGTTTTTCACTAGTTTTGCATTTGGCTAGGGTCCATGTCACTACTGGTAGCATGAGGTGATACCAGGACCCTACAGAGGTTGCACAGGCAGTCCAACTCCTCCAGGATGGCACATCAATATGCCATTGATAGAAGGTCTGCTGTGTCTCCCAGCACAGTCTCAAGCGCATGGAGGAGATTCCAGGAGACAGGTAGTTTCTCTAGGAGAGCTGGACAGGGCCTTAGAAGGTCCTTAACCCATCGGTAGGACCGGTATCTGCTCCTTTGTGCAAGGAGGAATAGGATGAGCACTGCCTACAAAATGACCTCCAGCAGGCCACTGGTGTGAATATCTCTGACTAAACAATCAGAAAAAGACTTAATGAGGGTGGTCTGAGGGCCTGATGTCCTCTAGTGGGCCCTGTGCTCACTGCCCGGCACCAAAGAGCTTTATTGGCTTTTGCCATTCAACACCAGAATTGGCAGGTCTGCCACTGGCGCTCTGTGCTTTTCACAGATCAGAGCAGGTTCACCCTGAGCACATGTAACAAACGTGAAAGGGACTGGAGAAGCCGTGGGCAATGTTATGCTGCCTGCAACATCGTTCAGCATGAATGTTTTGGTGGTGGGTCAGTGATGGTCTGGGGAGGCATATCCATGGAGGGACGTACAGGCTAGACCATGCCATTAGGATGAAATCCATGGACCGGTTGTCAGACCCGACGCTGGTGCATCGTTCCTGGTTCCTACTGGGTTCTGGTTTCCTCCTGTGCACCACAATGTCCTGGGTTCCTCCTGTGCACCACAATGCCCGATCTCATGTGGCGAGAATATGCAGGCATTTCCTGGAGGATGAAGGAATTGATACCATTGAATGCCTCCCACGCTCGCCTGACCTAAATCTAATAGAACACCTCTGGGATATCATGTTTCGGTCCATCCGACGCCGCCATGTTTCACCTCAGACTGTCCAGGAGCTCAGTGATGCCCTGGTCCACATCTGGAAGGAAGTACCCCAGGACACCATCCGTCTTTCTCATTAGGAACGTGCATTTCAGGCATGCATACAAGCACGTGGGGGCCATACAAACTACTGAGTACCATTTTGAGTTGCTGCAATGAAATGTCAGCAAAATGGACTAGCCTGCCACAATATTTTTTCACTTTGATTTTCAGGGTGTCTTTGAATTCAGTGCTCTGTAGGTTGATCATTTTAATTTCCATCAAACGATGGGGCATCCTTATGTTCCTAACACATTACCCAGTCCATATCAGTATAGAGATCAAGCAGGATATTTTTCCCCATTGAGATCTGATGTGTTTTTACAGTGTTCCTTTAATTCTTTTGAGCATGGTATATGTTGATGATTTATTAGATTTCACAAAATCATTTGATGTTGTTCTATTAGGCCGCCAGCTGCAAATACTAATACCTACTAATACTAATACTAGTCTTGCCAAATTGTAAGACCAGGTCTGGTATGTTGCCAGGGGCGGACTGACAACTCATGGGGCCCCCGGGCAATAGGAGATCATGGGGCCCCTGTGTCCTTGCCCAAACTCAAAAAAGCCTATGAAAAAGGTACCAGGGGCATCTCATGGGGCCCCCTACTGACCCCGGGCCCTCGGGCAGTGACCGAGTTTCCAAATGGTCAGTCTGCCCCTGTATGTTGCCCAGCTCCCTGGTGCTCCTTAGCACGACAACTGACAACCAACTCCTAGCTGTCTTGTAACATTGAACCTTACAATTATTTTTCTGCTATCTGATCTTCCTTCCTCGCTGCCACTCCAATGAGCCTGTAAACTCACATACACATTGTTTCCCCTGCTTAAATAGTTTTCTTTTTATTCTCAACCAAAGACTACAATTTAAACTGTTTAATGAATATAAAAAATAATAGTATGCAAAGATAATAATGCCAGTGATACCTGTTGTGATGCATCCTCTAGCATATAAATATTTTAAACAGTCCCATTTTTGTAGCAATGTGGCATGTCAGGGGGCCCGCTTGATTTCATTATAGATCATGATCCCACTGTTATTGTAGGATGAGAGGAATGCATCTTTATGGCAGTCAACTGCGAAAATGATGAACGTTGAAAAAAGAAATTCAACAAAGAAATTTTGAAGAATAAATCCTATTCTTAGACGAAGGTAAACGTTGGTTTTGGAAAAGAATCAGTCTCTTTGTGCTTTGCTTAAATGAAGTTTGATCTACCAGAAGCTGCTGATGCGATACACATAAAATATTAACAGAACAAAGAATAGAAAAGAAGCTGTGAGTCACAAAGGGACACATGCGGGAGATCTTTCTATGGAAGGACAATGTATGGGGTACAGAATGCAAACTGGGCAAGAGATCTGTCTCAGCATAATTTTGGTAATGCCAGGATGCTTAGAAATTGTACAAGCAGAAGACTGAAGGAAATTTAACCCCGGAAGTAAAAATAGATTATGTGAAGTCTATTCTCCATCTAGCTAAGTACAATTTACATTAAGGCATACCCAATGTGAGCTGCAGGGTTGACTGAGTTTCACTCAGCTCTGTCTCCAGCACTGGAACTCCAGCTCCAGGTCTGATCCAAAGCCAAAGCAAACCACCAACTGTAGGCAGCTCCAGAGCTCATTCACAAATAATAGTTCCGTCTTCTGTTTCCAAGCAGCTCTGTGCTAATGCAACTACTTCTCTTGATTTATTTTTTTAATTTGGGAGGGGAAGCCCAACTCCAGCTTACCAATATTGCGAACACTCCCAAATTTAAATAACTACAACCCAAAAGAAGAAAAGAGAAAAAAAACTTTCACCCTTGAAAGTAATATAATAACTCTTTCTTTATCCCCTAAAATTATACCTTCTAAAGTGAAAATCTACACATATATAAGATATAAAATTATAACATAATAATACAAGATAAAATATAAATATAAATAATGTCCCAAAATGTCTCTAAAAATTCAAATCACTTTCTCTTCCACCTCCACATCATCTCTTGTGATACGGTGTACGAATTTCCAGATAAACTGATCCAACGTTGAAAAACCTCAAAAAATATAAACTAAAAATAGTGTATTACCTTAATTAAATCACAAATGTGCAATATCTGTCATGCACACTCCATAACAAGTGTCAAAACAGTGAAAAAAAAAAAAGAAAAAGATTTATATATATATATATATATATATATATATATATATAAAATTATAATAACCAAGGAAATAATAAATGTGCGTGAACAAAATTATTCCAAAATCACTCAGATATGTGTAATGTGTATCTTACTAATTGTGACAGTGAACTCAAACACTGCAAACACTACTAATATAAAACAAACAAATGTGAATACAAAATGCTGTGTCATAAAAGTGAACACTCCAACTTAGTGCAGCAAATGAACAATTACCCTATAGAGGTATTAATCCGCTTTTCAAAATAATAGATGCTGGCACCTCCCAAACTTCTTGCAATTCCTTTAGGCATACATCCATATCCAATAATCCTGTCACATTCTTGATTGCTTCAGACATGGTCCATAGATATCCAAGGTAAACTCCTTTTCTGTGTTGAACAAGAGACACAGCTGTAGTGACCTTCCCCCTTCCTCCTTCTCAATTCATGGGATCCACAACTGTTAACTGATTCCAGGACCTTCTTATCATTCCATTGATTTGACACGCACTGATCCTTTCCATTAACCAATCCACATTTCAGGATGGAAACTCTAATAGAACATTCTCTCAATAAACTTTCCTTCTTGTCTCTCAGCCGCGCTTGAATCTCCACAATGTAGCAGCTCCTATTGGCACAATAGCTTGCCACAAAAAAAAAAATCCCCAAAAAAGCAAAACAGCTCTTGCTGCAATATGCACCCTATCTTTGGCATTGACCACCAAAGACTCGTTGCTCTGTTAACTGAAGCCCATCATCATTCAACCTAATTTCTGTGGTCCAAGTGTATCAATAAACCATTTTTGAAAGTATGCCATGAGCTCACAGGAAAATACAGAGTGAAGCTGCATCAGTAAAACGGGAATCAATATGGAGCCAGTTATTGGAGAAAAACTGATTAAACTTGTCAGTTGTGTCATTAATGCTAATGTTATATACCATATTATTGTTTTCACTACCCATAGTTCTACTGTTTAGCATTGTTTACAGCCTTGCTTTGTTAGCTAAAGCTGGTCATAGATGGATCTTTTTTTTTATTTCAGCCAGCAAACTTGTAGGGTGGTTGGGTTTTACCGACTACGCCATATTGTGGACAGGGCCTATTGTACCCGTGCACTAGGGGTACATTGCCCAAAGGTGTGCTCATTAACGCCCAGGACTAGGTGGAATTGCAATCATTTGTACAGTCTAACATTATGGCAGTCTCTTGACTTAGAGATGAGCTGACACCACAAGTAGAATAAAGCTGAGTTCCTGAAGACGTATTGAACCATAGCTCTACATTCAGTGGCTATAATGTGTTGCATTTGAAGTGGTGGGTAGAGCCACACCATCTCCACCAGCCAGTGTACCTCTGTTATTGCATTCCCACTAAAAGAATGGGATCCTGATGGACATATAGTGCAGATCTCATGCATGTCCTGTGTTAATCTTCCTTTTCCATATCATGCAGTTATGCTGAGGACCTCCATAACGCTGGTGTGCTCCAAGTTGCTATGGGAGATGGACCACTAGGGAGGGAACCCAAATAGCGACTTCATTGCTACCAGAGGACATCTCACCTTACATAGGTACTACCTGTCAATGTTGCTTTGTGCTTTGAACGTACACTTAAGTTAAATGTCAAAAGAACATGCAGCGCTAATAAAATTCAATCATACATGCATATAAATAGATGGTGCATAATAAAATGGTATTGTGAACACCAGTAGATAATAAACTGTCTAAACGTCCACAGGTTTTAGTAACGGTGAATAAATATCTCCAACAAGAGTGTTCTTGTGGTGCATAGTGCAAAATTTCAAGGTAAGGTGGTGAAAAAATTAGTGACTTCCGTGACCATATTCATCCCACAGAGATGAGTGTAAATTGCACTAACCAGAAAGCGCAATGGTAATGCGCATTTGAGTGTTAACCAACTCCTGGTCATCCGCCAACTGAAACTGGATCACAGAGAGGGTCATCAGGCTTGCGTCAGCTGGGCAAAGTATCACAACCTCAGGGTCTCCAGGTGTCAGGGGATGTGCAATCATCTCACCAGCAGGGGGAGTTTAACCATTCATACAGTAGTAAGCAGCTGGTGACAGGGAATTCCAAAATGGCCACGGCCATCCACAGGGGCCGTGCGGTGTGATGTCACAAGGTATGAGGCACCTTCCTAAGTTACCCTTGGCAATGACCTTGTTATTTCTTAGCATACTGACTTGACACTAGATTCTTCATACCCCTCTAGTGCTATTACAGGCCCAGGTTCTTTTAATATGCCAGCCCTATTATGCACCCCTCTTTGATTAACTTCAGAACAGGCTCAAGGACAAAGTTTTGACAGTCTTTGCTGATCATTTCAGTGCAAACATGATACACGGTGCAACAACAGTTCCTTCCTTACACCTAACTAATAAATGGCCCAGACATTCCTTCCAGGGATACCGCAAGCCTTGCCTGACCTTATTATAGGCTTGCCTGTAGGCAAACATTAAAAAAGAGACTTTACTGCCACTTAAAGTGTTTGAGAAAAGTGGGATGAAATCACTTTTTAAGTTCAGCTTGCAATTTGCTCACATTTGAAATTTGTTACATGATAGTGAATTTGGGAATGTTTTATTTGGTTGCTCTGATTGATTTATAATTTATTGTTTACCCTGCAGGATAATGTCATAAGTATGACAGTTGTCATGTTTCACATGACTGTCATATACCTTTAAGTGTTCTTTGTATTTTGTCTCTGCTCCTCCCTTTCCTCTGATTTAGTTCTTGCTGTATAGATAGCCCACCCCTTTTCCCAGTAAGGCATTTTAGCTTCAAGCCTCATGTCATGAAGCAGATCACATTATGATCTTTTGACCTATACGATGTTCATTGTTGTAAGATTCTCTGGAATAAACTTCACAAGATCTACAAGGTGTCATCTGATCGAGTCACTGCCTCTGTTATTCAACTAAGATTGGAGTTATCGCTATCTCATCACAACTGTAAGTTACAGAGATCACACTTTCAATGCTTAGATTAGATTACCTAAAAACTAAGCCATTCAGCGGCGCACTGTCACTGCTACCAAGGTTTCAATCTTCACCTGGTCTTCCTTCCTTCCAGGTTTGTGCACTTCAGCTTTATGAATGGCCGAGCCATAGTGACATCACTCCTGTGCACGTGCACAGGAGTCATTGCCGCAGCACAGAGCTCTGAAACAGGGATGTAGATAAGGGGGGTGGGTCAGGGAGGTTCAACCCCCCCCCCCCCCCTCAGAGCATCCTGCCAAAAATGAACTGCATGGTATCCCTGTAGTGATACCTGTATTGATTTTACTATATTCCTTTTAGCCATACCTTTTATACAGTCATTTTTATTTTCTTATGCCAAGCTTTCACTTCTCCCCACCCCCTTCTTTGTCCATATACCCATAATTACCTCACTATAAACGCAATTTTTGACATAGCTTCCATGAACCAGCAATGTCATTTTTAA